CCAGCTGACTGCTTGCTTTTCCCAAAACATCAAAGTATTCTTGACAGAAAAAAAAGTAGAAAGATCAAGATAATGTTCTGAGAGCTGTCCAGGAATCAGGACACCGGGTTGAACCAGCTGGATAATCTGATGAAGAGGAGAGCTGAGAACAATGAATCTGTTATCTGAAGAAAAGCTTGGACATTGGCGGAGATTATATTAAAACTCACCTGAGGTGTATTCCACAGCTGAATATTCTCAAACCAGCTTAAAGTTTACTTCAAGCCATCGGTCGCGGACATGTAATTTTACTTCCCTCTATATTAGCATTAAATATTTCGGTAAACAAACATAACATTGAAAAATTAAATATTTTAAGAGAAAAAAGTAAAATGATTTTTGGCCTTAGAAACGACTTATATTTTATTTTGAAACTGAAATAACTACTTTAATTTAGAAGAAAAGTTTCATTAAACTAGCATTTAATATTCTTAGTGTTTTCTTTTGTCCTACTGCTCGACTCGAAGGCTAAGTGTCTTGTGAGAAATATGGAATTTTATTATGACCTAGAAAGGTTGCCTATTTAATGACAGTCGACTCTACACATGCAGTGAGAGAGAAATACCGAACACAAGCTCAAAACTAAATAACTTAAATAATAAAAAAAAAAAAAAAATCTGAAAGCTTCAAATTTTTAAATTACGCACAAAGGGGCGTTTTTTTAACGTCTTGTATGTTACCATTATTTATTAAATATAATGTTCTTCGCACTTAAACTATAAAATTCAATTCAACAGCAATATCGCAAAATATTTAAAAATATCATATCTTTAGAATTTCCGATACACAGTCTCGCGCGCTGGAGATCATTTTTCCCTCCGGGGTACAGTGTTGCCATTGTTAGCTTTGAAATCGTTGAATTTGTTAATAAAAAATTCATTAAAGTTTTTCAAAAATGAAATAGATAACAAAACAAATTCCAAATTCGGGCTTCTACTAGATGCACATATTCGAGTGGAGGACTAGGTTATTCAAAATTTTATGTCTCTAGGTACCGTTGTTTTTTCACACTGCGAGAAACATACGTACATTCACGCAGATTCTTCATTATTTAATTTCTTTAAATATAAAGCAGGTCTCTAATATCTGGTGGCAACAGTTTGAAAAGTGAAACGCCGTTTTATAGTGGATGACTCAACTCGAAATTAATAGCCCTTCTGGGAAAATTGGCCCTTTGGGATAAAAAAACTATTTTTGTAAGATAAAACTAAATTAATAGCCCTTCTTGGAAAATTGCCCCTTTGGGCTAAAACACTATTTTTATAAGAAGTACTTAAAAAATAGAAATAGGAAATACTCAAAAGCAGTCATTCATTACTGAAGAGTTTTTGATATTTTTATTTTAAACTAACGCTATTATTAAGGTAAAATAACATGCCGAACAAATTCGCGGACCGGTTTCGGTGGTTTTACTTAGTACTGTGAAAATTTGCAAATATAACGCTGATTTTTATTGTTTGACTTCTAAATTAGTAACGCTTTATAATAGGTTTACTAATATTTTAAGCATATTTTTATTTCAGAAATTTAAAAATAAATATTTTTTTTTAAATTTGTCCATTAAGTCTATAATAAAGAAGTAAATAACTTCAAACAATCAAGTTCGGTCCATTGAGCAACTAAAACCCAATGAAGCTGCCAATGGTTAGTGGCTTTAACTTCTTATCTACAGAAATATTGCTAACAAAGCTTCAGCATTATTCAGGAATACAAAAGTAAGTATTTTAAATAATATTCATTTTCAGTTAAGTGACAAGTACACAGATTAATATAACACTAATATTAGCAAATCTAAACAGTGGCCCTGTGAATCAGGTATTTGTAAAGTACAAAAAGCTATTTTCCTCACTTTCATCTTATCAGACGATATGAATTATAAATTACAAATAATTTTTATTCAGCAGGGACATATACCTCAAATTAACTGAGAGCTTACTTCAAGTGCTAAAAGTAATCGGCATAGCATATGTTACTTTCATCATTCTGCGTTAGCATTAAGTTTCTCCTAAGCTAATATAGCATTGAAAACTCGTATAAATTCAGTTTTAGAATGCATAGAGTTCATTTTGTCGAATTAAATAAATGCACATTCACTCATATGGTATGATGGTTAACGAATGCTAACTAATCCCCATGTTGTTAGGCAAAGCATGAAGGTTTTTGACGTGTATAATGTTTGTGGGGCAAATAACCACTAAAATTCCGCTAACTGAAAGTGCTCTCAAAAAATTAATGTAAACGAAAAGGGGTAAAAGACTACAGCACTCCGTCGTCAGGTCAAAAATGGGATCGACCTTACACAGATAGCCCTCATGTATTTGGCATTTCTCAAATAATCCAATGTAATTAAAAGGATTACATGAGAATTTGAATATTAAGGTATGTGTGCTGCAATAGCATAAATTCTGCAAAACATTTAGTTTGGAAAATTCCGTTGCAAATTGAATTTAGCGATTTTGCACATGCCACTGTAGAAAATGAAAACCAACTTGATACAGAATACTTCAAATTTTTTTGTAACTAATGTCTTTGATGACAAAGATAAATAGAGTGCAGCTAATGATCTTTGTAGTTCACAGTTTTCATCGATAGGTTCCGGATTAGAATTTTGTCAACGAGGAGGAAATGTCGAATGCGTTTTTTGATTGTTAGTTTCAACTCATAAAAGTATTAAGATTTCCCCAATTTTTAGCATCATAGTTAGCTGAAGATATGTTTCCTTTGGAGTATGAAAAAGCATAGAAAAATATACCCCGAAACTCCATAACTAATTTAACTTCGATTAATTTAGTATTTATTTTTTTGTAACTTACAAGGAGAGAAATTTTCAAAAATACTTTGAAAATTTATATTCCTTTCTTCATAAACGTTTGGGGTTTAGCTGAATTTATAAAAATTCTGTTATTTATCGTCGTATGAAATTTCAAGGAGCGGCATGATATAAAATTAGAGACTCAGTCTTCAGTCAGATTTTCAGTCTTTGAAATTTCAGCTAACATATTAACATACTGCACATATTAATAGATACACAAGCTCAAAAACGCTCAAAGGGCCAAAGGGGCCAAAGGGCAAGCCCAAAGGGGCATAGTATAAGAAAACTGTATGCATATAATCATACGTAATACTGAGTCAGTGTCTGCATGTAATAAATATTTCATGTATGTTAGAAGAAATGATAATTCTTTGTAATTTCTATTTATAATGCAACGCAAAAATTTAATGTAACATTACGAGCTGCAAAGTAAAACAGTGTTTTAAGGAAAAGAAAAGTCCAGTGTAAAAGAATGCGGTTTATAGGAAATAAAAAATAAAATCATACAAAATACTTTTATTTTCTTAGGAAATAACTGTTTTGAAGATGGTAAGCTTTACCCTAAGGCAATGCTTAAAATTCACATCATCTTCACAAATAAAAATCGAAACCATTTCACTGTTGGTATTTTCAGCAGTTTTCCTCAATCGCTATTTCTTCTCGACTACACGACTTAAATCTTAACTCGTCTTGCTAATGAGGACGGAAATATATTCCTGTTTTCCATATTTAAAACCTCACAAATACAATTCCTCCAATTTTGCGTTCATATATTTTAGTATGGATTCGGAATTTGCATTCTAATTTTCCTTGAACAGATAGAATTTTAAGATACACCATTCATTTATTTTGCATCAAAGATAATGCAGTTCGTAACAATTCTCACTGATAATAACAGAAAAATAACTGCTTTTAAAAAATTATATCGCAAAAAATATACATCTTGAGAGCTATGAACAAGGTGGCTCAGAGAACTGAAATATTTTCTTCGCATTTTGATTGTTATTTACCATTAGTATAACCACTAATTTGAAAAACAGCAAAGTTTAACGTACGAGTTCTTATATATTGTAAGTTTAGTAGCATTTTGTGTTTTGTGTATGTAATGAACCGAAAAAACAAACTTCTGAATAATTCACTAGGGTTACCTAATGTCAATGCAATGGTAAAGAAAAACAGTGGGTTAAGAATTTAGTTAAATACGAGTGTTGTAGTAGTGTCTCGAAAGCCAAAAGGAGATGATACTGAAGATGAAAAGGGAGAGTTAGTCGCGAGAAGATAAATTAGGCGACCAAAAACTACCCAATATTGCCAATTGGCAATAAGCACAAAGCACACATTCAAATACGCATGTTTATGACATGTCTGATGAGGATGTCATTTTTACGCGATTTTTTTTATAATCCCTCAGGTGGAAAACCCTTTACTATCACAAAATACTAAGATTTCTAATGGATCTCAGTAAGCAATATTAAGTTACTATAAGCCTAATATGAAAATATTGATTCAAAAAATTATTTATTTTAAAGCATCTTTTCAAATTTAAATGTTCAACTATTAAAAACAAATGTATTTAATTGCATGCCGTAACATGCAGTTTCAGTAATTAGAGGGACATATCAGTTGGAGTACTAAGGTTGCTTTCTAAACCAGGTGAGTAAAAGGCTCTTTTTACAATAAAATATTAATGTTTATAAAGTAGTGTAAAGTAATTAAAAATCTTTGTAAATTTACTTGTTTTACTTTAGCTTGTAAAATTACTTTTTATTTCAATTAAAATACCAATAGCGCCAACGGATGTAGCATTTTAAACGTACTAAAAGATTGGTATTCAGAGCAGTTTTTAACTAAATTTAAAAAAATAGCTACACGAAAGCAAGAAATTCATTTAAAAGAGCTGCTAAGAAAAGCCTTTCAAGTGTTTTATCTTTCGCTAGACTTTTATCGACTTAACAAGAATTTTTCTTTAATTCTAAGATAATTTTTCAAGCAGAGATCTCTTAAGATCGCTGTTTTTGACCAAAATCATATTATTAGATATATATTTGTTAGACCTAGTTCTTTTGTATCTGCTTTATAAAGACAAACCCGAAATTTAAAAAAATAATCTCTTTTTTTTAAATACTTTTACATAAATGTATCTACTTACTGCAAAATGTCTTAGCCACTGCATGCTGGACAGGGAAAATCAGAAAATTAGACTGTTCTTCATTTTGATATCAAACTTCTGCTAAAATTCCATATCATTTTCATTAATTTAGCCGCGTGACGAAAAATCAGTATTAGCAACAAAGAACACCATAAATGAATTCCTTATGAATCATATCACATGGCTCTAAGAAGGAGTTACATCCTTCTTTAAAATTCACAAGAGCTGAAATCCCGCTGCTTTAAAACGCACGCGAGGATAAATGAAGATCACATGTCCACTAAGCTTTCTCTTTTGGAAGTTTGAAAGAGCGCACACTTCGACGTGTTTCTCGTTTTACTGCAAGGTTGCCATGTCTTCGTTCGCCAGGCGCCAATCAACTCGCGAATCAAAGAAAATCGCCAAACATGAATTTGCGGCTCGTATTTGATGCTCAAAGAAAATATTTTTCAAGGTTTTTCATTGAAAAAGTAGCCTCATCTAAAGAAGTGACATTAATTTATTAATATAATTATCGCAATAATTTTGACGGTTTTTCTTTTTTTGCCCATGAACAACAGCACTTTTATGTTATTTTCCTATTGTTCTTTTATTATCTGAATCAGTTAACGATCAGAGAAATAGATAACCGATTTCGGAGAATCACTTTTATTATGCGAGAGGTTATGGAACTCGAAATTAATTTACACATTTTTGATTTTACCTTTTATTAATATGCTCATTTTTAAATTGAATTCTCGTGAAGCTGATAATTAAAAGGAAAAAAAAAATAGATGGCAAAAGATACTAATATTCTAAAATTTTGGTTCTTTTCTTGCGTAATTATCTAGATATTTATTACGAACAAATTACACTCGTGTGCAAAATTAAGAGAATATGCAAATTATGTCTATTTTTACGAAACGTATTAACCAAAGGTACTAATGCTGCCGAAGAAGTATGGAAGTATTCATAGTGGAATACGTAAGCGTACAAGTGCGAGTCTGCGGAGGTGTGATTGCGGAGGGGAAGTAAGCGCACAAGGGGTTTTCGGCGATTTTGTGTGCTCGTACTCTTTCACGACATTTGCAGTCTTTCTCGCAAGACATGTATAAATTTTATAAGGTATGAGGTAAAATGAGTAACCACGAACGTATGGATGACAGAATGAGAATTGGACAGCATTATACCCCTGTATGTGTTTGATAAAGGTTTCTTGACTGTGAGGTACAGAGAGGAGATCTTAGAGCCCTAAGCTCGACTTTTCAGGGATACAGTTGACCTGGTCTCCCGGTAATGGATGACAGCGCTCGTCCAAATATGGCTCAGCTGGTCGACGATTACCTGAAAAGTGTGGATATTCCCCGCATAGATTGGCCAGTCAGATGTCCTTAACCCTATGCAGCATGAACGCTCTTGGGAGGGCAATTTCATCTCGCCATCGCCCTTCGAGAACCATCCCGGAGTCAAAACTGCTTTCCTACAGGTTTGAGATCAACCTCAGATACCTCCTGTCCAACAATGTACTCACGTTGCGCAAAATGTCTGGCTATGAGAGGGGGCTATACGCCATATTAGACTCATTTTCATTTCGATATCACAAGGTGTATTTTGGAAATCCCTGCACTATGATCTTTACTGATAATTATGCTCACATAAAATTACTTTTGAATGGTACATCGCTTTCTCTGTTATAAATATATATTCATATCAAATTTCATTAAAGTCTGTTTTTAGTATTTCAGAAATTCTACATAATATGTAAATTCTCTTAATTTTGCTCATGAGTGTGTTTCGCAGCTAGGAAAAAAGTTCTTTAGTTTAATTTTACTGATAAATTGGCTTGCAAAGATACTTAAAAATCAAATTAATAATCAATTGACTTTATTTAACTTCTAGCAAGATAAACATTTTCTTTACTACGTGATGCATAGAAAATGCAGTCGTTAATGCAACCAGACAAATTTAATACTATGCTTCATATACTTTATTTTAAATAAATTCTTTCAAAGTAACGCTCGAAATCTACGCTTAGGTCTCGTGAGGCCATGTAAATTTAAGATATGTCATCAGTGCTAAGCCCATCTATGGACGAACGGATATGATCCGGAAATAATAAAATCCCTTTTGGTTTAAATTCCAAGTCGAAATCAATAAAAAAAAACAGAGTTGGGCTCTTTGCAACGCCGATATCACTTATTTAAAGCAAGTAGGAGGAACGAAGGTAGAAAGAAAGTATTTAAGCAGATTAGGCGTCAGTTACGTCACACAAGAGCAATCCTTGTTCCGTGTAAGAAACGGCTTAGCGGTGTGAGAGCTTTTGAGGGCTTTATCCCAGTGTAATGCAAATATCTAAAAATCAATCAAAAACTGAGTTTCAATGTTTTAAAACTAATTTATCTTTCTGTGTGCTTTTAATAACTTAACAGCTCATGCTGTTGAAATACAGACGTTCAATAAATCCTTCTAGTATTCTAAAAAGAAACAAAAAGTCTGATACTGCCTGGAAATTTTATTCTCATTTTCTAACAAATAGATTGGTTTATTTATCTGCTCTATATGTACTGTTTCATTCGTACAAAGTATCCACATTGAAGATCCTGGGAGTAATAAAATTATATCCTAGAAAATATTTATCTCAAAAGTTTCTAGTTTACATCATTATAAAGGAAAAACACCAAAGTTACCACACCCCCCCCCAAGAAAAAAATTATGAAATACGTTTCTTTGACTACGCAACGAACATTCAGCTAGTAATCAAACATTTTGCACGTTTAGACGTAGAGAACCTTAAGCGGGAATTTAGGCTTTAAATAAATCTCAAAGGAAAATATCCACTTAGACTGGAGCTGATCGAGGAAATACTCCAAGTTGTTCGTGGCTCTTTGAAGCACTCCTGGCGAAACAAATTTAATGTAATTCCAGTCTGCTATAACAGAAATAAATGTCTTTCATATAGAATGTTGCTTCCTTATTGCCTTTTAATTAATATAAAATGCGGGCAACCTCATCCTGTGGAGTCAGTATTATTATTAACTGGTGCAAATGAAAACACAAGAAAATTCTCATTTTGAAAATTTCCTTCTAGAATGCCAAAATCAAGAGAGCCCAAAATATAGCCCAAAATACAACTTCGTTGTTTTAATATTCTTCATCTAGAAAATGGTATGGTTTTATAGGAATCATCTATTTCGTGGAACACCAGGAAAATCTGGAATATCATTTGGATTCTGTGCATTTTCATTTAGTTGATTAGTCATTTAATTACTTCAAAGCATTCGAAAGCTACCTTATCAGACTCATATTTAATAAAAAAATTGCATCTTGCTTGAGTGAAGATCTTGCTGGGCGATTCAGTTACGATACCAGCAAAAGGTGCTTCAGTACTTCATAAAATTACAAAAATTAGAAGGCGTAAAATGTGGAAAAGCAAATTACAACTAATGGCACTGCAGATGGTCTTTGAAAAAAATAAATAAATAAAACGAAGTGAAAACTTAAATTATCAGAATAAAAGCATAAATAACGAGAATCTGAGCAACCCACTAGCGTCCGAGGGGTAAAAATCGCTGAACATTGATAGTTCCGGGTTCGATTCAGGGCGAACGTTCTGGCTGCATAGGCGTTTTTGTAGTTTTTCCCAGGTGTAAAGTATATACGAGCCAGGTTACCGTAGAAGGTCCTCCTCGAATACATAGGCAGATATCCTTAGTGTTCTTTGCCATAATCAACTAAACCAAAACTGAAAAAAAAATATTTTTGATGAAAAATATAATATTGGCAAATGTTAACAGTTCAAATTTCTTTTTTAAAGGAAAATAAATGGACGTTATTGAATGTCGTAGAATTATAACGTTAAGAAAAAGCCAATGTGTAAATAACACATAAAAAGAAGCTATTGCAAACATTAATGCTTTAGATAACTCAAAATCGCGTTTTTTAAAATCAATAACCTTCCCAAAATATGAGATCAGAATTTTCTTTCATCCTTAGCACATGATGATTTTTTGCACAGCTATACTGAAATGCTTTCAGAGGTATCAAAGTAAATAGAAGCTTCCTTTTCTCTCTCGTGAATCAAAGATTTTAAGAAATTAGAGAATGGAAAACACAACTTCGTGACCGACTGTTAAATGTGCACATTCAAAAGTAAGCTGTAAAACAAAAGACTGATACAAGAATTTATCGATATTAAGATTGGGTAGTCGCACATAATGTGTGACTACCCAATTACACATAATGTGTTTAACCCGTTCACAGAAATTTCGGCAACAGTTTATACTCATTATGGAAAAATAAAATTATAAGAAGTTTGATTTCAGTATGATAAAAATTGACCGGGATATTTAATTTCAAAATCTGCAATCTTTGTTTTCATTTTCAATTTGACTTGAAGGATCGATTAATTCAGTTAGGATTAATTAATTTAATAATTTTAAATGAAGTGCAGCAAAAAATATATATCATTTAACGGCCCGTACAAGGAAGTCATATAGTGTCCAGATTAGAGTTCGTTAGTAAAGAATCATTCTTCATTTGCTTGTATTGTCGACAAATGCAAACTATAAATTGAGCATGAAAAACGTGCATAAACATTCATGCGATATTTTAAATAAATTACTAATAAATAAATTTAGGCAAACTTACACCAGGTATTGCGGTGGCAAAAACTCCCTAATGGCTTTTAAAATAGTAGCAAAATATTTTTTATGAACTCGACATCATACAAATTCGCTTAAAAATCTAATCTAAAAAAAGGAGTGCTGATGCTGTGTACCGCGGTGTTTTTTATTGCTTCACTTTTGCTGAACTCCAGTCTTTCGATATTCTTGAGTATTTGCAACACTTTTAGGATCTACAAATTATACCTATGATTTACTTTCATATTCGAAAATCTTGCAGCTTATAATTCACTAGTTTTATAAACCTTTGAACTATTGAAACAATTGTTGGCTATATTTTTTCTACTGCTTTCATCAAAGTAGCCGCATTTCCATTTGTAATTCCTGTAATAAAAACTTCGTCAATCTCTCGGATCAATCCACCGAATAGCCAATACTGAGCAAGAATTCAACCTGCTTCGTTTTTACGCTTCGTAAAAAAGCTTTCGTCGGTTTCAACTATTTTGTTAAAGGCTGTCCGATTTTACCAGCTTCGAGTTAAAGCTCTAGTCAAAACACTATGAGTTAATTCTCTCGACCAGCTGTAAATGAAGTGTTAAATCTTTTGTAATGGAAATACAGTATTTTAAGAGCATTGGGTACCATTCATATACAGGGCCTTAGGCGTTAGCCTTTCAATCTAAGCAGT